TAAGAGCGTTCAGCCATGGCTGTACAAGCTTCTTTGGATGATGATACAACGTGTGTAGCCATTTACTTGGCTCAGGCTTGGCATGCTTAGATCCCCCGCCTTGGGATACTCAGTGACGGGTAAGGACGGAAGCTTCTGTCTACCAACCTAAGACAGGTCGTATTGGGACATGAGCCCTGCGACTGATGACGGGTAAGGAGATGGAAGACTTCTGCCGCCTAAGACAGAGGTTCCTTGGCTGATGAGTTGATAGCATTCTTCATGCTATCAAAGAAAGATGGGGGAATTATGGCGAGCCATTATGGTGAGCCTTGACACAGGCACGGAGGTGCTCTCGCCCATAGCCACGGGCGAGTTCAGCTAGTAGCAGATGTAACCCATAATGGTCGTTATTGTTTCCCTCTGGAATGTGTGGGCGGTGCCCTCGCTCCCTCGCTCCCTCGCTCTCCCTCGCTCCCTCGCTCTCCCTCGCTCCCTCGCTCCCGTGCAGCCCTCGCTCCCTCGCTCCCTCGCTTCCGTGCAGCCCTCGCTCCCATGCAGCTGGAGAGTATAAAAGGAAGAGGTTCCGTAATAAAGCAAGCAACTGAAGAAGAAAGGTGCCTCCCGTCTCTCTGTCCTCATCCTTTCAGGTTTAGGACCTGCTGGCAGGATCCTGACGTCGCGGCTCGCGACAACCCACCATCTTCGATGAAGCCCTTCATGAGGACCTGAGTGGGTATCGTCAACAAAACCCCTGTGTAACTTTGCTACAATGTGTAGATGACCTCCTCATTGCTGCAGAGACTGAAGATGCCTGCCTGGAGGGGACAAGAAGACTCCTAAAGACCGCTGGAGATCTCGGGTGCCGAGTCTCAGCTAAGAAAGCCCAGATATGTCAGCAAGAGGTAAGCTACCTGGGATATACATTAAAGGAAGGACAAAGATGGCCATCAGAGACCTGTAAAGAAACAGTCCTTCGGATTCCCCTGCCTGGCTTCTGACACTTGTGGATTCCAGGGTTTGCTGAGTTAGCTAAGCCCCTTTATGCTGCCTCAAAAGATCAACAGACCTTTCAATGGACAGAAACTTTTCAAGACTCTTTTGATAAAATCAAAATGGCATTATTGAGGGCATCTGCCCTGAGCTTACCAGATGTGACAAAGCCCTTTCATCTGTATATTGATGAGAGCAAGGGGATATAGCTAAAGGGGTCCTAACTCAATACTCGGGCCCCTGGAGGAGACCAATAGCTAACCTGTCCAAGAAGCTGGACCCAGTGGCTGCCGGATGGCCCCCCTGCTTATGCATGGTTGCCGCAGTGGCCCAGCTGGTCAGGGATCCTAATAACCTCACAATGGGACAACTAGATGAATGTGATTACCCCCACACTGTTGAAGGGATCATTAAACAGCCCCCGGATCGATGGTTAACAAACGCCAGGCTGACTCATTATCAAGGACTCTTACTCAACCCAGCTCGAGTTATCTTTCGGCCTCTAGCCGCCTTGAACCCTGCCTCCCTGCTGCCCGATCCAGACATGGAGGCCCCGCTGCATGACTGTAAGGACATATTAGCCCAGGTGCACGGCATACGAGAAGATCTGAGAGATCAGCCATGGCCACAAGCAGAACCGACACGGTATACTGACGGGAGCAGTTTCATGCAGGATGGACACAGGTACGCAGGGGCGGCGGTAGTATCAGAACTGAGATAATATGGGCTGAACCATTGCCAACGGGAACTTGGGCCCAATGAGCTGAACTCATAGCACTGACCCAAGCCTTGACCCTGGGACAAGGAAAGGGGCTAAATGTCTATGTGGACAGCAGATATGCATTCGCCACCGCACACATCCATGGGGCTATCTATAAGGAAAGAGAACTGTTGACTGCAGAGGGAAGACCATAAAAATAATAAAGAAATTATGGCCTTATTAAAAGCCTTGTGGCTGCCTAAGAGACTTGCCATAATCCACTGCCCAGGCCACCAAAAAGGTAATACACCCACAGCCAGGGGTAATAATCTGGCTGATCGAGCTGCTAAAGAGGAAGCCCTCCGGGCTCCTAAAATCCTAGCATTACAACTCCTTCATCCAGGAATCCCTGCCCTGCCCAGTGAAGGAGAATACTCAGATTCACATCTAACCTGGATCCAGCAACTGCCAAATGTCCAAAAAGATGGGGGATGGTGGAAGTTAAGTGATGGAACTGTTCTTTTGCCTGAGAAACTCGGAAATCAATTGCTCACATCCCTCCATCAACCTACTCATCTGGGAGAAAAGAAGATGCGAGAGCTAATCCAACAGTCTCAATTAAAAATAAAGGGCGTTACAAGGAAAATCAGAGAAATTACGTCCTCCTGTGGAGTCCGTAAGGCGGTCAACGGAGTCCCCACCAGCAATGAAACAGGACATCGCCTTAGAGGCAATAGGCCTGGGGCCTACTGGGAAGTAGATTTTACAGAGGTTAAACCAGGAAAATATGGCTATAAATATTTGTTAGTTTTTGTAGATACCTTTTCAGGTTGTTTTTTGAGACAGGCTTTCGTGTGTAGTTGAGACTGAACTGGAACTCACTATGTAGCCCAGGTTGGTCTTGAACTCACAGTGATCCTCCTGCCTCAGCCTCCTGAGTGATGGGATTACAGGCGTGCGCCACCACACTCCCGGCTCAATCTAGGCAATTTAGTGTGACCTCAATTTAAAAAAAAAAAAACCGAGAACAACAACAGTGCAAGCTTATTCTTTAGAAATACGAGATGCGTGAGTGAATAAAAAAATACAGCTCAAAATGCTGAAAGTGATTCATGTAGGGGAGTTGATGGGGAGGAGACTGAAGAGGCAGACAGGTGGCTGCTTCGTGTCATCCCCCTTAAGTACAGTTCATTCTTTCCTTTTCTCTTTTTCTGTAGTACAGGGCCTTTGCACGGAGATACATCCCCAGCCATTTGTTTAGTTTTTGTTTTTCAGACTGGGTCTCTCTTAACTTGTCCAAGCTAAACTGTATCTATCTCGTGATCCTCCTACGTCAGACTCTCAGAATTACAGGTTACACCACAGAACATCCCTATAATGTGGCTGGGACGTGGAGGACCAGGAAGGAGGTGACCCATCCAGATCTGTCTCAAGGCTGGAAACCAGCAGCCAGACTTGAACTTCATCCTGAGCTCTCCCTACTACTGTTTGCTTCTTTCTGCATCATCCCCCAGGGTGTCTCCCTAACTGTCCCACTTGTTCCATCCCTAAGCAGTTACTGGGTGCTGACTGGGTGACTGACAACAAAAACAGCTCCTTAGGAGCAGGGAATAGGTCATGGTTGGTTGGGCATTTGTGTAAAACCCTTCAGGCAATGAAAGCCCAGCTTCTCCACCTTCTGGCCGTGATACTGCTAAATTTCTCAACCTCTCCAAACTTTCCTCCTCAATTCGAAAAGGGGGAAAAGGACCTCCCAGTAGGAGAGCCGAAAGAGGCATGGATTCAACAAGTGACTTCATCATTTTATTTATTTAATTAATTAATTTTTTTGGTACCGGGAGTCGAACTTGGGACCTTGCTTCATCATTTTATTTTGGATAATCAACTTGTGCACTGGGTAGCAAGTACGTCCCGCTTGCCAGGTACCCTGGACTGCAGTTCTCCTGCGACCCAGCCAGTTAACAACTTGTGCATCTCAGCAGTTAGAGGGTAGGCACGTGGCAGGAACTCCTAGTCACATCCATATACACAGTCGACCTTACAGGAACGGGAGCAGCGCTCAAACTGTTCTTTCTGCCCGCTCCTTTTCCACCTAAGGTACCTTGCAGGCCTTCCCACTAGTGCACACTGAACACTTGTCGTTTTTAATAGCTGCACAGTTCTCCAACGGATGGATAGTTCTCATTCTTAAAACCTGACTGACATTACTGCTGTCACCCCGGGAACTGGACAGGAGCCCGGGAGGATCCCGGAGTTGGCGACCAAGGAATTAGTTCCAGCGCCTGCTCTGCCCAGAATTTGCTATTACCTTGGCCTTCACCGTCGGTGGGACCATAAGAAGGAGAAGAGGGTATAAAAAGCACTGCCCGAGCACAGATCAGCCGCAGATCAGCTAGCAGCGTGCCCAAGTTTTATCCCGAGGAAAGGTTAGATCTTTATAACGAAGTCTCACAACACGTAAGAGTAGCAACAAACGCATCAAGGGTTCTGGCATCATCAGGCTTGGACCCTCACCAGGTCCTCCTAGCCTCGGCACCCGCCCTCGGGACAGCCACCCCGGGGAATCCGCTAGTACTCACCTTCAGCCGCTTCTCCGTTCCAGCTCCTGTGTATCCCCGAAGGTTACAGAGATTCCTGTCCCTTTAAGGGCGCCGGGCCGTGGACGAGTTACTTCCACCCACAAGCAACATGGCGCTGGCGCCAGAGAAGCTGTTTTCTGAAGGCGTGGAGACAGCTGCCCTTGAAGCTTTGGCTTCGCCTTGCCCGCCTGCCCGCGCCGGTGGTGACGTCACTTCCGGGACGGAGCGTCGGGGTGGTCCAGCGAGAGGCGGGCCGAACCGCCGGTCGGAGGAGTTTGGTTCCCTGGCGCGAGGAGCCTTAATGACGGAGTCAGGTGAGGGAAGGCTTTGACTTGGCATTTCTGGAAGCCCACTCTGCGGCTGCCTGGCGTCGCTTGTCCTTGCCAGCTCGGGCTGTATCCCCCGGGCGGTCCGCCTGGGCCTCCTGGAGCCGCTGGGTTCTGCCTTCCTCCCCGCTCCTCCAGGCGCCAGGTCCCCGCGGTCCCACTCTCTCCCGGTGCCGGCGGGGGAGTCCCTCTGTGTGCCTTCACCGGCAGCTTCCTCCTGACTCCCCCAGGTCCCCTCCATCTCCTTCTCCCGCAAATGCTCCCCGCTCCCCGCAGGTTCCACCCGGGCTCCCCTGGGCAGCTTTCCTGTCCGTCTTCAAAGCTGTCTTTGCTCCTGGCTGTGTCGCCTACTCTTAGGACCACCGCCCCCCGCCCGTGTCAGAAGGCACAGCTCCTTGGCCTAAGATTTGCAAAAGGATGCCCAAGGTAGGAGGTAATTAGGACCTTATTCCAGGCCCCCAGCTTGAGCCCCCAGCTGCCATCTGAGACTAACAGCAGTCGCCATACCGCTCTGCACCTTGGGTTTGTCTTGTTTAAAAAGGGACAGTATTTTTTTAACTTTCTCTTCTCTTTCTTTTCTTCCAAGCCTTCCTTTCCCTCCCTCCCTTCCTTCTTTCTTGCTCGAATTTGGGTCCTTTCGTTTGCAAGGCAGGCTGCAGCACCACTGAGCTAAAATCCCCAGCCCTGAAAAGGGACACTATTCCAGGCTGACTTTCTTGACTCAGGCTTGACTACCCTGATGTACAGGGGGCTCTTAGCAGAGTGGGTGTCCCAGAAAGGGGTGTCTAGTCAGAGATGGCTTGTGTGTAGTCTGCTGGGTCCTACGGAGAACACATGTACATCATTGACTCGTGACCATCTGCAGTTTGAGCAGTGGCTGTTGTCCTTTTCACAAGTGGGAAGACTTTCAAGTTCAGAGGAGGGAGGAACAGGCCCAAACTCCTGGGGAAGGGGTTCTCTTCACTTCTATTACTACAGTGTAGCTGCTGTCACAAAAATCAGCATATTACTTTTGTTTCATTGGCTGTCGCTCGCCTGGGGAAGGGTTTCAGGCTAGAGGCAGATGTGAGAGTAGATGCTGAATGTGCTGACAGAAGTCACTTTCTGCTGCCAACCAGTCTCACCTCTCCCCTGGCAGTGCTGAGCATTTCAGCTGCACAGGGAGGCGGGAAGTGCCAGTGTGTGAAGCTTGCCGTGTCCTGTTTTGGGGGGACAAGGTCAGCGTACCCAGGCTCTGCCCTGTTGGTTTGGAGAAACTCTGTTCCAGGAGAGGGGCAGTCCTACTTAGGTGGGAATTTATCGGAGGCCTATCCATCCTTTTACTGCCTAGAAGGGGGTATGGCAAGGGCTAAAGAAAAAAGACAATTAGAGACTTGAGTCATTTCAAGAATACAGGGGGGCTGGGAGGTCAGTGCGTCAGATTGGGCAAAGACAAAGACATTCCCTGAGCTTGCCACTATTTATTGGGTTGGTTCATATAGTATTAGATGACTCGTAGGGTGGTGATAATCCTAAATTCACAAGGATTTTTATAAACTTAGGGAGTATCAGATGTCTCAAAGGGCAGTAATAACTCTGAGTTCACAAGGATCTTATGCTGATGTAATCTTGTCCTTAAACATCACAACATCATGAGACTATTGAGGTCTCAGAATGGCTCCCAACAGGAATTCTTCGTCTTTACCAGGGGCACCCTGCAGGGAGCAGCAGGGCCAGCCTTGAGATTGGACCTACAGGCTTTGGCTTTTGCTGTCTGCCTGAGGCATGGCCTCCTGGGGTGTAGGACCCACACCAACTGCACGGAGTCTGTGGTTGCATAAATCTGGGTCTTGTTGGACCTTCAGGAACAGCGTGGCTCTGACCCATTTCCCTCTTGCAATACCTGGAAGAAGCTTTGCCTTGGCTCCTTTTGGAACGTTCTTCACATGACAGCTAAAATTGGGAGGTGAGGGGAAGGGAGAAGATCCTCCCTGTAACCTGAGTCTAAACATGCTTCGCAGCAGGGACCTCAGAAGGATTTTTGAAAGTGAGATTTTGGACCTGGAAGCCTCTGTCTGTGGAGCCTGAGGATATTTGGTGGAATCCAGCTCATGTCTTCACTTTTGTCCAGGGCTTTTGGTCCACCAGCCCTAGGCCCAATAGAGATAGTTGGGGAAACCATGTATCTGTGATCTTCATGAAAGTCCCTGGTTCAGCAAGGCGTTTCTCAGCTTCCCCGTGTTAACTGGGGAAACCAGGGGCCAGGTAAAGGTGTCCTGGCTGCTAGATGGTGCCTCTCCTTCTCTGCTCGCTGCAGGCAGAAATGGTGGGAACAGTGTGAGTGTGTGTGAGGAGTAAGTAGTATCTGCAGCAGCAGCAGCAGAGTCTCTGGGACCAAGCCCTGCTGTATAACCTGGGTCTGGAACAGATGATAGGAGGAAGAGGCCAAGTTGGGCAGGAGCCTGTGGCACCCATCTCTATTTTCGTTCACTTTTCATATCATGTGGGCACAGGGATGACAGATTCTCAGCTTCCTCCCAGAAAAGAAAACAGGCCCTGAGAGAGAAGTTGCTGTGCAGCAACTCTGCTAGGAGAGGCTATTAGACAAGGCTGAGCCCAGGGAGGGCACTCCTGAGAAAGACTTCTGTGTGGAACAGACCACTGCCCTGAGTGCGCGCCACCCTTCTGGTGCTTTCCCGCCACACCCAGGGATGCAAGGAGAGCTGGCAGGTGTGGTGCGCACCATGGCAGTTGCTTTACTTGGGTTCTGGGATGTCCCCAAGGGCCGTTTGCTCAGGGCTCAGTTTAGCTGATGGGCTTTTCCCAGGTGAATGGATCCAGAGCTAACTTCATTCGTGCATAATTTGTGATAGGTTCCTCAGCTATTAGCTAATAGTAGTGGGAGCTATTAGACAATTAGAACACAGGACCTAATAGGAGTTGGCATTTGTCAGTGATGCACTTGGGGAGGGCGTTCTGACCCTGGTCCCATTCCCTTCTCGCTCTCTTCCCATTGCTGCCAAGCGGTGAGTGGCTCTCCTTTGTCCCATTGTAGCAGACATCCCTGCCCAGTACTAGCGGGTTATGAGCGGCACCTACTTCTTGCTTTCCATAATTTGGAAAGCTCTGCGTGACTCAAATGGGCATGTACAAAGATGGAATGTGCAAGTATAGCCCCTCCCTTGATGGCTGCCACGGAAACCTAGACCCTGGTCTGTGACGTGGCAGTGCTCTGCTGAGTTACATGCAGCTGAGGTCAGTGTGACTCCAATTTAAATCCTTTCCCCTGAATTATGGCTTTCCGCTGACCTGATGGGTTCCTTGCTAATTGTTCCTGATCCCAGTACTTGTTTGTTCTATCCAAGCAGGATAAGCAGTGCTTACGCCCTTATAGTCCCGCCTGGTGACATCATGCCAAGTGTTCAGCGGTTTTTCACTGGATGTCTTCAAAGCATATCCAACTCCTTATTCCTTCCCCCAATTGTATTCAATAAATACTGGACGTACTTGGGGGCCTTTGCTGCCATCAGCAGCACTGATCATGCCTCAAGACTCAGCTTCCCCATTCTAAGTCTTGTTTCCTGTCTACTTTTTTATGTATTCTTTCAAAGAACCAACTCTTCATTCATAGATCTTTCTTTCTTTCTTTTTTTTTTCCTTTTTTTTTTTTTTTTTT